AAGCAACGAGAGAGAGGGGAGCGTGCTCACGGGTGCCTTCTCCCATGGCCGTAAGCAAGCAAGTAACACAGATAGGGATAGTTTGGGGCAGGACCCTGGGAGAGAGAGAGAGAGAGAGAGAGATAGAGATAGAGATAGTTTCTTGAAGACCGGGGAAAGTGTTATTTTTGCTGAATCTCCCCACAAGGCCCCGTTACAGGGGTGGGCCTTTCGGCCCGGGAGTCCTGACAGATGTGAAGTGAAATGAAGTGAAACTGTGATGAGAGACAAAGATCCATCGGGGAAGTGGAGTGAAGTGAAGATGGAGACCGAGCAGGGCGTCGTCGCATGCAGGCTGTTTTGAGCGACCGCTAAGTAATCCCCTGAGCTGTGTGCAATAGCCTGTTGTTGCTTTCATGTCACATCCCGGAACATGTCGGTTCTTTAGTGTCACTGCTGTTGCACGCGGGCATGTCAAGTCGCAGCTGAAAGCACATGGCTGAAGGGTTGAGTGGAAGGTCAAGGTCTGTGTGTGCAGGGTTCAGCCTTGCGTTCAGATGCGGGGATCAGTCAGGGCAGGTTGGCATGGGGCACGCACGTAGGAGACCGATGAGGGAGAAGGGCACAAGATGGCACAAGCCCTAGTCACGCATGTCATTACACGTTTCGCATGGCATGTTCTGATCGTTTCTTTTGGAACCCACTCCCACTCAGTCGCCAAAGATTGTTTCATGGCGAGTTGACATGTCTCCTTCCGGAGGGTCACGGTTGGCCCCACCTGTTATGTACACTGAGGAGTCTTCCTGGTAGCTATCCTTTTGCAACCCCGTGGTGACGGGGGCCCCAGACTTGCCCACTTACAGGTGGAAAACAAACAAGTCTGTCCAAAACACTTGGATACGACACCGTACAGAGTGAGAGTCGACACAAGCAAGATGTCCCAGGCGGGCAGCATGGGGTTTCAACATGAGCCTAAGCAATCGGGGACTCGAGGACACCAGCCAAGTCGACTCCCACACCACGTGTCATACTGAAATTAGACACGGACGGTGGCATAGTGCTTGCGCACGGGGCGAAGGGTCATGCGACTCTTAGCCCACACGCCCAGCAAGCAAGCAAGCAAGCAAGAGATCTTACGTGCATTTACGTGCAATCTCATGCAACAGTCGGCAGCCTCGCAGGTATGTCAGTTCTCTGCGAGCACTGATACTCTCGATTATGAGCAGCATGTACAGCCTGTTCTGGACATTGGCACCTGGGCTTCGAAGTGAGAGCCTTTTTTAGATGTCGCCGGAGAGGAACAGGCTCGAGAGCCGGGGCATTAAAAATTGCATATGTTGCGACGCTCAGGTCTTGTTGCTTCTGCTTTTCTATTCCTTTGGCGTCTTGTTCACGCAGCTGGTCCTGGATGATTGCCGCCTCAAGGACGTCGATGCACCAACCAGGTTTCGGAATGAAGTGAAGCAGACATGCTGCAGGAGATATTGAAGACCAACGATCGAAATGCTCTTCCCGTTTGTGAGGACGGAATTTGCCAATTCTCAGTAGGGTTGCGTGACATTAGCATGCCCAAGCAGATGCACGTGCCACGCCCCCCCTGCCCCCTCCCTCTCCACCCACCCCCACCCACCCGCCCCCGCCCGGCCAGCCGCCGCCCGCCTGCCCGAACGCCCCGCCCGCGCACCCACTAGTTGATCGACCAATTGTTGCATGCCTCCACGGACGAGAACAGAACGCACACGAAGACACACAAGCACAAGCCTCCCTTCAGGTGGGTTCCGAAGACGGAAGCAGGTTCTTCAAGTCCCATCAATTCGCTTTCCAGCAAGTTTTGCTCTCTCATGCAAGGATGAATATGCAAAAAAGTACTGGAGCAGCGTGAGCGTGCCCCGGATGTAAGTCCAGCATGGACCACGTGGAACATGAACACGCTTGGAGAGTGTGAGCGACACGATCCTGTCCTTCAGGCGAGTATGCTTACGTTGTTTATGTCGATCACCGGTGGTGTGGATTGGGAATTTGCTATGGAGCCGCTGATGGGGAGCCTCGGCAAAGCTGAGATACTTGATGAACTTCTGGTTCTTGATGCACGCCTCGATGCACGTCAGCGTCAGCAGCATTCGTTTGGCACCAAGGCGCCCTGATCCGCTGGCTGCAATGTGCTTTGGACGGTTTCAGTCGGACAGCTGGACTAGTCCTTAGACTGCCTAAAGTTGTCTGTGATCTTCCGCTGAGGTGCCTGATCATCTACATAACGATAACCTGCTTCGCGGCGGCTTGGTTTGCCTTGGTTGGGAATAAATGAAAACGTGTTAGAAACAGTCACGCTTGGACTGGATTTCCAGGAGTTTAGGGTGGTGTGAGAGCTGATTCTCCATAGGCCAAGGGAGATTCGTTGACATGTTTGTGAGTGTGGTCGCCCAATTGTGTTCAGGGCAGTGATTTTGATGTAAGCATGACCAGCGTCACCGCATCCCGACTCCGAAACGGCATTGGACCGACCAAGATTGTGAATGTGGTGACGGCGTGTTTTTGTTCCACGGCAATGGAGAGCGCAGCTGCCGACAAAGACCTGGCCACCATGAAACAAATTCAGAAGCACTCCTCGCAGGCCCGGGTTTTAATTCTGATTTCTGACTTCCTTGATGTCTGGTAGAGGCATCTGTGTTGCCGAGGGTCAGGAGTTTCAGCGGTGGCAGAGTGGGTTCGAGTGCGTAGGCCCTGATTTCTTTGACCGTTTTCCGTGGAACGTCGACGTCTTTCGCCCGAAAACGGTTGAATTAGTTGAGTGTTGATAAACGAATGCGAGCACCAAGGATCACTGCCGCAGCCTGAGAAAACCCAAGCTTCACACACTTGTATGAACATGGTGCTGGCCCCGCACTTCGTGTAGATGGAGGTAGGAATCTTCGGGTCAGAATCCAGAAGTTCGATAGGCGACAGTAAGGTTCAATGTGATCGGGAGGGCGCGTAGTGGCTCGTGTTTCGAGCCCTTTCCTGCGTCTCTTCGACCTATGCCTCGTGCAGGTAAACGACTTGCAAAACCTATTCCACGACATCGTGGGCAACCATGTTTTTTGGCTTGCAAGAGCGGGCTTGCTGTGTGTGTGTGTGTGTGTGTGCACAGGCGTGCGTCTCCGGATTCCGGCAGTCTCAGGAGGACAATGAGGTGAGCATTCGGGACTTCAAGGCAGCCCTCTCCTCGCCGAAGTTCGCTGGCTTTCTGGAGTCCATGAGCATCTCCACTGAGGAGCGCAAGGGGTAGCAAAGAATTTGTGGGCAATCGGCCTGGCTGTTAATGTCAGATGTGTGCAGGCCGTGTGCGGATGAACTCGCAAGCCGTGGGGTTCTTTGCAGGATGTTGGCGTCCTGTTCACTTTCATGGACACCGACAGGCCATTGACTTGTCTTGCCTTGTAGTGAGCGCTTGGCTCAGTGGCAGAAGAAGAGCTGTTCGACAATGATCTTGTCAAACAGAGATGACTCACAGATGCCGGTCGGCGACAGGTGTGCAGGTGTTAGAATTCTTCTGGCAGGCAGAAACCGAGGCGTCAGCCTCAGCTTGTCTAGGCTTGTGCCCTCAGCCTGAGGAGTGGCTTGGTCGACCTGGACGAGTTTGTGAACGGATGCCTCAACTTGCACGGACCGGCCAAGAGCCTCCAGCTGCGGCCTCGAAATGCCTCGAAGACATGTGCAGCTTTCTTTGTTTCTGGCCTGGCGATGCCTCGCCTGAGCCTGCGCCCTAGGCTTGCGAGAATGAGCTTCGAGAACAAGCTCACCCGGCGTGAGATCAAATCTCTGAAGATGGTTGCTTCTTGGCTGCACTGGGCGGCGAATGGCGGCGACTGGGAGCTGCAGTGAGCATGCTGCCACTCCATACCTGTAGCGGACTGCCGCGTGCGAAGGTCGGTGAGGTGAGGAGACTGCTGTACAGTGACAATGCAACTTGGCTTCGGGGGCCTCTTGTGGGGTACAAGATTGTTTGGTATGAGCATGACGTATGAGGCTGGCAAGAAGGATGCCTTCATTGTTTGAGTTGCTTGGCAGATACTGAGAGCGCAGGAGGTCAGGAGGTGTCACAAGAAGAGTAAAGACTGAGGCGAGACCTGAAAGCTTTCCTCGTTCACGTCGGCGCAGTCGGTGCAGGGGGCAAAGCTTGTGAGCCCGGCAAATCTTGCAAGCTAAATCTGCCGAACTCTGCTTGAGCCCTGCGTCATTTCCGCGGCTGTTGGCACCCGTCGTGTTAGCTTTGTTTTGCACCCTCTCGTTGCACCAGGGCGTCTGAACAGATACAGGCCCAGGAGGCAAAAGTTTCAATAAATGGCAGAGATGCTTTGGAGATTTTCTGCATGAAGTTGCTGTCTCCCAGTCTCCGCTGCGTTTCACCATGGCCGGGAAAACAAACCTTCCTCAGGCAAGGAGCAGGCCACTGACAATAAACTTACCACTTTTGAAGCCAGCGACGTCTTGGACACACAAGTTATGGATCTTTATCACGCATTGAGGTGAGATTCTAGATTTTATATGTGGCTTGAGGCAAAGGCTTACTTGACCGCGCGCTTGATCGGTTCTCAGATGGCCTGAGTGTATGGTGTTTGTGGGAGATTAGCTCGGTCGATCCGAGTTTCAAAATCCGAAGGCCAAATCAAGCACCACGGAGGCGCGTTTTGGCAGCTTGATGCTTCCGCAACCTGAGCGGTTTCCGGCTGAAATATTTTCGCGCAGCTTCCCAACGAGCTTTTGGCTTCACTAGAGGCCTGGCTTGTGAGGTTGCGTTGCCAGAAATGAATTTCCACGTTTGTTTGGCAGAGACAACTTGACCTGCACCTCAATGCGGCACGTCCCACAAAATCTGGGGAGTGCCAAATTCAGTCATGATCGCTGTTGCAGCCCTTCCTTCAGAGTTAGGGTCGAAACGTCCATGATTGACACATGACAGGGCTTCTCTTCGAGATTGGAATTCAGGGCTCAAGCGGAAGTCCCGGCTCTGCAGCAGGGCAACGGCCTGTTGCAGTGAAGACATGACGAACATGACACACGCCCTGACCGGTGAGCAAATCGGTCACACCGATGGAAGCCACCGCAGCCCGTGCTGTGGCAGCTGGCCGGTGCACACTGCACAGGTCAACTCTGGCAGCTGGTCGGTGCACAATGCACAGACCATCAGTCATTCAGAGGGTAAAGTCATGACACAAGCCCTGACGGAAGCCATGACCCAAGCCATGCAGCTTCCCGCAGAGGCCGCAGGAAGTTCAAGCGGGAGTACAATGCACACGTTGAAGCTGTCAGACCATTTGTCCGTTCTGGTCAAGCCTCCTCCTGGCTTGGAAAACATCGGTCATTCTCAAAAATCTCCAGCTCCCCTGCCCTCGTTGCCAAATCTCTTACCTGGCAAAGCCAGCAAGAAGACTCGGGACAGACATTCCAAGCCAAACCCAGAGGGCACCAATTTCGTCGCGCTGCTGCGCAGCAAGGAAGGAGCCTCGATGCTCAGCTGTCAGCTGGCAAGCTTGAGTTCAACTCAGCTGCAAAGCTTCTGTGCGGAATTGCTGACGTCCTTGCTGCCGGATTTGAAGGTGCTCGCTTGTGACCCGAATGCAATGCCTGTAATCAGTCAGCTCCTAGCTTTGCCTGGAATCGATGATTTGCGATTGAAGCTGACTCGGCGACTCCGGGGGTCCTTACTGAAGCTGACGAAAGACAAGCACGGCTGCTGGGTGGTGCAGGAGGCGTTGCAGGCCGCTCCGGCAGAGCTCCATCCTGCGCTGGCGCAGGAGCTACGAGGGAACGTTCTGGCGTGCTGTCGACACCGTCACGGCAACTTTGTGCTCCAACGTTGCGTGGAGCTGCTCAACCACGATGCGGTCAGCTTTATTGTGGAGGAGCTTAGAGACCATGCTGTCGATACCTCTTTGCACATTTATTCCGGCCGTGTTATGCAGCGACTTATAGAGCATTGCCCTCACAGTGGGAACATGATGGCACTTCTGGATGAACTGTTGCACCAAGAGAATCTGCACCAGTTGATTATGGATCCGTATGGCAACAATGTTCTCAGGGCAGTTCTGGGCTCCGGGAAAGCGGTGCACATCAAGATGATTGGCCGCGCATTGACGGCAAACGTGCTGACCTATGCGCAGCATCGGCACGCCAGCCTTGTCATGGAGGCTTTCCTTGATGCCTTGAAGGGGAAATACCAGCACGAGCTGCTGCAGGAAAGACACGACCTGATGGAAACTATTCTCGGTGGCAGCAGTGGCAGCACAACTTCACCGTTTGAGCATATAGCTTTGGATCGATTCGGCAATTACATCGCGCAGCGAGTAATGGAGAACTGTCAGGGCATTGAGCAGCAAAGAATCCTGGAGCTACTCACTGTGCTGAGACCGAAGCTTAGACATGCAGTCAACGGACAGCACATACTGCAGGCCGCTCAGCGAAAATTTGGCCCGCGACTCTTGTCGGTTTGCGAGCCAGCGTATTACCCGGGTGAGGTCAACACTGACACGCCGGTGCAAGTGCATGAGTGTATAGCCACAGCAGTTATTAATTTGTGAACCGGCAAGGTGCGAGGGGTGTCTTGCGGTTCGAAAGCTCTTTGCTTAGCCTTGTTTCGGAAGTGCAGGGAGGGATCCTTAGCCCGTAATTCGACGACGAAGAGGGGCGAATCACGGCAGGCAGAGACAGCTCTGTCTGCTGCCGTGCTCCGTGAAAAGCTGACGGAGTCAGACGACATGGGGCCGTCTCAATACTTGCGCCTCTTCGCACGGAACAAGATGCTTCTCATGTCTTAGCGAGACGGTCTGTTCCACTGTACAGGACTTTGCACACTGTTGCAACACGGATCTTTGGGCTAAGGCTGTACCTGCAACCATGGTCCGAATTTTAAGTCGAGGGCGGCTTGCTAAAGACCTTTGCCGAGGTGTCGCCTTTCTACCTGCTGAAGCTTGGACCAAGAAAAGCACTTTCGCGTGCGTCACACCTAGGCACCGGGAGAGAAGCAGAGCGAGAAAGAGTCGGCTGGGACGGCCCCGAAGGCTACGAATTCCACCCAGGGCCGCATCTTCACCGCATCTCAACACCAAGCCAATGTGTTGTTCCTGGATCTCCAGCTACGTGGCCATCTCCGGCAGATTGTTCCTGCCTCTCATGAAAGGCCGCGAGCCCTCATCCACACAGGCTCAGACAGAACGGAATTTTGCATTGAAAATTCTGGCTTCATGCGAACGTGCCAAGACTAGCGTCCTGGGGATCCGCCTTCGCATTCCCAGCGCCTGCAGTGCTCGCAAACCCCCAGCCTTCCTGTGGGAAGCAAAATTGTGTTATATGTTGTGCAAGACGAGAGGACGAGCAGATGGAGGCTGACATGGAACTTGAGCAACAGGTCTTGTGAGGCTCTGCTGTCAAAGGCACGCCGATTCGCATAGGTTCACATCTGCAAGCAGCCGCCCTCCAAGGACCCTTGGACCCTTCGAAACTTTATAGGTTTAGCTGTTCCAAGCAAGGCCTGCCCTTCGGCTTGCCTCGTCCGGGAGGTTATCTGGAGCTTGATACTTCATCGTTGTTTGGCCATCCATGCCATCTGGCCTGCGCGGCTCTTGCTAACATGTCAGCAGCGGTGCGTCGGTGTGGGAAGCGGAAGTGCGAGACAGGAGTTGCAAACGCGGAAGAAGACTTGCGTAGAGGCTTAGATAAGTTGTGATGAAGCATGCAACTCGGCATCGCGATTTCACGGTTCGCAAGTCCTTCATGGAGATGAAGAAAGTCAAAGAGCCCGCAGTAGTTGCAAAACACAGGACTGCTTTGCTATCCAGAGATCTAAGTTGGAGGACTCATGCAAAATTCGATTTCAGTATACCTCGAATGTGTGGTCGGCTGCGCTGCTAGAAGCGCATCCGCACCCGCAAACTCCATCTCCTGCTCTCCGTGACGGCCAGAACCAAGAGGTCTTCCAGCGCCACTCGACAGCAGTCGTACTTGGACATATATTGCCTGGTACAGTGTTTCCCAGTGTAGCTGAGGAAGATGCGGATCCTCATTAAAGGAGGCAGGGGAAATCACAGAGCTGCTTTTAGCTGATCTGCCGTGCAGTGAAGCGGACTTGGAGGCGTGTGGAAGAACTCAGAGGATGAAGTCCTCAAGGCACGGTCGACGCGGGCAGAAGGGGATTCAGTACACTTGTCCATTTCATTGCACCCTTCTTGTCTTGTGAGCCTTCCATGAGAGGCTGCGGTCATGAAATATGGCCTGAACAACTGGCCTCGAGTTGCGTCTCTACTGGCCAGGCCGGCAAGATCCTGTGAGTGATGAGTGAGCAGTATAGAATTTTACATCCATCCTTCGGCATGTGGATGTGGCCTTTCATCTCATGTAATTGTGCAGGAAAAGCCCTAAGCAGTGCAAGTCTCGCTGGTACGAATGGCATGGAACTCAGAGTGGTCGAACGAACCATGACGAAACTTTGTGTTGGCAGCATGTGTCCGTTGTTCTGCAATGTCGGAAGCTTGCATGTGCTGGCGATGCCGTCAAATTCGGATCCTGCGCACCGAGCCAGCGAGGCTTGACCCCAGTGTCAAGAAAACCGAGTGGACGCGTGAGGAGGAGGAGCTGCATATTTAAGACCTCGCAGGAAAGTTTTGAATGTACTGGACAAGCTATGCATGCAAGCACCGGTATGTTCAACAGGAATTGTTGGAGACCGATCGTTTATGTTGTGCCTAAAACCCGCACATCAGTCGTCAAGACTAGCTCCGGTGTCGAGATTCTTGCATTGCCATGGGTTGATGCCTACTTGATGCAACAAATGCATGCAGGAGAAGCTGTTACACTTGGCGAAACTGTTTCCAACCCAGTGGCGAACAATAGCTCCCATTGTGGGCCTGCGGCTTGGAGCTGAACTGAAGAGGTCCAGTGAACTTCATGCAAGGATGGAAGAGATCACATGTCGAGAACGGATACTGCATCGTGACTTGCATCATCTGAGCGGCGCATCTTTCACCAGCTTTGCGGAGGCCGCACAGCCTACCAGTGCCTGGAGCATTATGAGAAGCTCTTGGACCAAGCCCAGGCCAAGTGTCCACTGTGCGACATCGGGAGATCCTTTGCCCGCGAATGTTTTCTCGCCAGGGCAAGGACGAAATGGACGAAAACGATCCGCGCCGATTGAAGTCGGAGTCGCAGAAGTGTCGTACTTTTTGCGAAGTTCTTCACTGGCGTTTGATGCCGATCTAAGGCCGGGCGAGATCGATCCTCACCCGGAGACGAAGCCAGCGAGGCACCAAACAAAATGCCCAGCACGCCCTGGTTGGGCTTCTTTCGCGTCTGGAACCGAGCTTTTCTGCGACTTTTCAGGGCGGATCCGATTGACATGGACGAGGATGAGAAAGAGATGCTGTCAGAGGCGGATTTAACACCGTGTGCCCGTGTGCAGCTTTTTCAACCGCTCAGGGCATGAACTAGCCCCTCAATCGAACTATCTTGTTGTGAAGAGGGGATCTCCTGACTCTGTGAAGTGTTCATAGCACATCTGATGTGAGCCAGCGTCCCGGATGATCAGGCCCGCGCAAGGCTGGCAAACACTCGGGGCAAGAAGGCCAAGCGAAAGGCAACTCAGCTTGCGATTTGTCACGTGAAGACTTTTGCTGAAGCAAGCAATTTGTGACAGCCAAGTGCTGGAAGGTGATGTGGTATGTGTCAAAACTCGCGCAAAATCATTACCCCAACTGGGCAAGACCGATGAATCTTCGGGCGGCCGCATCACATTTCTACAAGGCCCGTGAGAAGCAGCTGGAAGAAGCACGTCGGCTTGCTGCATTGCAGAAAAGCAGGGAGCTCAGACCAAGTGACCCTTCAGAGCGAGCGCGGTTGGTGCTTCAGCCGCTCAGGGCGCGAGCTCAAAGCTGCGGGAATTAGCACCTCACGGAGGTGCCCCGGCCCTGTCGACCGGCGATGGCTGCAGCAAGAATCTAGTCTTTCAGTGACAAAGGGGTTCTGGTGAAGGGCGATGTCATAAATTGGCCTCTGGGTGGCTCCATCTCACCGGAACAATTGAATTCGGGTTCTGCCTTCGGATCCCGCAAAAAAAACGGGTTCGGTTCCTTGCTTGGGGAATGCAGTCTTCTCTATGTTTTCGATGCCAGCGCTTCGGGAGTGTGCAGAACGCATCCCTTGCCAGGTACAAGTCACGCAAGTACATTGACTATGGAGAGGAAGTGCCCTTCGAGGTGCACCTGCTGGGCACCATGCCTGTCAATCATCTAAGTGATACGACTCTAAGACTAGACAATACTTTACAGAGCGCGGATTCTGCACTTGACAGGCCGTCCCTCCAGTCGGCTTCCACGAAGTGGGACCGGAGGACCTGACGTGAAGGGTTGTTTTTCTGGATTTCAGACGACAGATGATGTTGATGCTTCGGTGGCGCAGCTGGCGGGTGCTGTTGGGTATCAGCTTTCAAACGCTGAGAGTTCAGCTCGTAGCTTCTCAACGGGAAGAGGGAGGTTCTCGCTTCGTCCGGTGTGTAGAGTTCCAGGAGACGCCAAGGGTCACCATGGGCATGGCAAACGTGACACTGCAGGCAGGTCGGAACTCGCGATTCTGAGAACAGCGCGGGTGCCGTCGGTGTGTGGACAGGCCGTTGAGCACAGGAGCCGACTCGATGAGGAAAGGCGCCGCCGCAAGGATGATGAGAGGAAGCTCAAGCGCCGCTAGCCAGAAGGGACCCGAACTGCGCATCGCAAATGCAAAAGCCAATCGTGCATGTTTTGCTTTGTGAGCCGGGCAAACTGAGGCCTGAAGGAGGAGAACCTCCCTGAAGCCATCGACATGATCAACAAGCTCAATGCCATTTACCCAGATGATCCACGGCCATCTGCTTCTGAGCAGACCTCAGCTACCACACTTAGGATCCACAGCAACTTCGAAAACGAACGGCTGGCCATCTCAGATGTGCTGTTGCTGCCGGGAAAACACTGTCAGCGATGCTTCACACATGTAGAATCGACACATCCGATTAGTGCGGCAGCACTTTACCCCGCACTTAGGCTTTGGCCCTGCCTGCCCCGCAGCTTAACGACGAGGAACTCGAAGCCATCGTCAAAATGGGCATCCGCCCCACAGAGCCATGTTTCCGACATGCCGAAGCACAGTGAGTGGTTCCAGCTGTGCACATCTGTTCTTCCGGCTTGTACTGCAAGGTGCAGATGCAGCTGCCATTCAAGCCGAGAGTGTCGAAGTCTCAACTTGCCGCATAGAAGGAAGCACGCAAGAAACCCCAGTCACCGCACCTTCTCGAGGCCGACACTTCAACGGCCGGCCTCGTTCAAAGCTATGGCGACACTCCTGGCGCCACTCCTGTTCGAACCCCAAGGTTCCTTTCCGTCGCCGCGAGTCATGTTCCTGTGCCTCGAGTCAAGATTTGGGCAGGCGGCCGGACCCTGTCATGCTTGAGGCGCAGGCGCTGGGGGGCCGCAATAAGCTCCCATGCCTCAAAAGCTGAGCCAGCATATTCAAGCAGAGGTTTAATGCAGCCGCAGTCTTGAGCAGGTGCAAGCAGGTGTCACGTACGGCTCCCAGTCCGTATGCAAAGCCATCGTGAAGCCTGATCGTGGGCAAGGAACAGAGGACGAGAGCCATTTCGTTCAGCATTTCAGCTTCTGTGTTTCCGAGGCCGCGTGAGGAGGTGGCAAGCATGCTAGGTGGAATGACACCAGGCAGACGGATGTTCCGCTGCGTGTTTCGGAAGTGGGTTGTTATGTCTTGGGCAAGGATTTTCTAGTATGGCAGTCGTATTGCATGCCATGCGCATACTCAAGACCAGGCCACTCCCTTGTGTGGCAGGTGCGACTCCTGGCGCTACACCTGGAGCCACTCCGAACCCTCTGGCGCAGACACCTGGGCTTCGTGCCAATGCAACTGCGGGCCTTACTCCGCGCCCTGCTTGCAGTCGAGTCTGCGACATGCAAATCCTGGCAGCCTCCGATCCGAGTGGAAAGGAACCCACTGCTTGGACAGACGCCGGGGCCCGGAGGCCATCGTCTCGACTGACCGGCTTGTGCTGATACGCTGATAGGCTGATGGGGAACAATCGTGCAGAAGCATGCAAGACCTTGAGATGCTCCCGCCGGACAGTGTGTAGGTGCGACTCCAGGGGGGGCAAGTACCGCCAGAGACTCGGGCGACGAGAGCAGGGCGCTGTAGCGCAGAATGGCACATGACGCGGCCACAAAATGATGCGGGCCCAAACCAGCGAGGGAAGCTCACAGTAGATCCCTCACTGAAGCCGAGGCTGGAAAGGGCCTTCGTGACGGCCTGGCACTCAACCAGGATGAGGCAGCTTTGCGAGTGCCATGAATGTGCGCGCTGGATTCATGGCTTCGGGTTGGAATGATTTCGGCCTGCGGGTTTGCCAGAAAAGGACGGCCAAGACAAGCCCGAAACTGCTCGGTATGGCATTCGATGCATTTGTGTCCACGATCGCAGTGAAGAAGCTCGGTGATGCGTGAAATGTCTTAGTCTCCGGGGTGCAAGCATGTTGTCGTGCAGCGCCGGGGCCGCCATGCGCAGGAGATGGAGCAAATGCCGGACAGGATTCGAAAGTGGCTCTGTCAGCACGATGCTGTCGGAACCGGAATAGTTACCGTGCTGCGTCTCTTCGTTGCATGTGCTGATTGCAGAGGCAAGCCAGACGTAGCTGCATCTAGCTAGACCAACTCGCGCGGATTCTACAACGTCCCAGAAATTGCCACAGCATGTACGTTGGGCCTTCGTGCAAGTTTTTCTCGAATCAACTGCATTCCAGCCTGTGTGACGCGTTTAGCCAACCCGATGCCATCAACAGAGCGCCTAAGTTTGCCCAGGGCAAACCAACGTATGCAGATGCAAGCTGCGTGGGGAGCTCAAGATGTGGTTTTTTCTGGTGTCCGAACGTTGGGCTGTGGCAGGATGATGCAGCTTGCAGAGACAGAGTTGGTCTTTGAAGAAAAGTTGCGACTAAGGTTAGGAAGCCTGCCTGCTCCGATGAACGAAGTGGAAATCTCGATGCCAGATCTCATGGAGGCACGTCTGGGCCTTCTGTTAAGGAGGTGTTGATCGAGGGAATGTTTCAGGGCTTTTCCGGGGGAGTGAATTATGTATCATCTAGGAATCTAGGAATTTCAGCCGCTGGCCTGCGTTGGATTTGTGAGGAAGAGGGGGACACGCAGGCGTGCGGAGCTCAGGTTGGCCCTTACTGACGACATCTGTGGTCAAGCTAATATCTCTCTGTAGGCCATCCCACTACTGTATAGCCTATCCAACAAACCCATGTATGCATTCCTCTCATTGCCCAACGAGAGTTAGTGAGGCCTTTGGAGGAAGATGCAGCTGATGCCGATAAGCGAAGGGCAAAGGAGGAGCAGAAAAGACTGGAGGCACGCATTGGCACACATTGACATCTCGTCCTTTTGTTTGATTCACCTGGCGTTTCTGAATGCTGACAGATCGAGCGTCAAAAGCAAAGTCAGCCTGTGAAGCTGGGTTTGCCACGACCTGTGCGGTGCCCAGCAGTGGCGGCCGGAAGAGAGCCTCCCACCATCCTTGTCTTCGAGTAGGCGGGAGGCCATGGAATGTACAGTGTAGGAGCTTGGTGTTTTGGCCTTGGACTTCCTATGCTTGGAAGGCTGCAAGGATTGCACTCTGACATGGATTGCTCCATCTTTGCAGTGTCAGATAGCATCCCAGGTGCAGACAGGGATGATGATCTTTGAAAGTGCTGCATCGCAGGACCGCCGTCAGCCAGGATGATAGCAGCATGTGTGCGCTCGTGTGTCGTTTCGGCCCGCAGGCCGGAGAAGTGCTTGAAGGGCCCAAGCACTTGCGCCTGAGCTGCAAACAGATGTAGTAGAGTGGACCTTGTCTCTCTTCTCTGTCTCTGAAGCTTCACATAGCCTTACCAGATTCTGGAGGGCTAGTTCGCGAGGCTGCAGCAGGCAGAAACCTTGCTGCACGAGGACTGGGTTACGGCACTCATAGGACTGGGATGGACTACGGCACTCATAGGACTGGGATGGACTGGGGAGTTTTTCGTGCTGGAGTACGGATAGACACACGTCACGAAATGTGGTAGGTTAGGCTTCATACCGCAATGTGGTAGGAAAAGCCGCCGGGTCGACAGGAGATGGGTGCCATGGTAACTCGCGATGCCGTACTGTTCCCAGTCAAGGGCGCGAAGCCCCCAAAGAAGGCGCAGTTGCACATCTTGCAGTTTGTCTTGTGTTGCGACCGTCATTCGTAGTAGTGCGCATGCTATGGAGCATGGCTCCCCGATGGTACAGGATCGTAGGTCATGTTTTTGCATCGCATGGCTGGTGTTGAGACAGAACGTCTTGCAGGCTCCTCCGGCTGGGATTGACTTTAGCCTGGAGGAGTGTGCGCCCTACATGGTGTCCAAGTCGCTTGCAAGACGGTAGCAGCGATGTCGAGTGGGGTGCCTGTTACAAAGGTTGAAAGGCGCGAGTGAGCTGCTGGAAGAGGAATTGGAGGCTTTTGCACAGGCCGGGTGTTTTTGATGTCGGATGCGCCATGCTGCGAGCAGCCAACAGGATGCGGGCGGTGGTCACAACTCGGAGGTGGCTGTGCAGGCCACGGTACACTTGCAGGGCCTCCCCTGCCAGCACCAGTGCGCAGCTCCCAGCATGGTCGTCCAGGCAGCCTTCGACGAGAGCACCAGCAGTGAGCCCTACGCAAGGAGCCGAGAGCAGAGGCAGATTCTGTGTCGAGAGTGTGGAATCGGATGAAAGTATCAGGTCTTCCTGCCCTCTGCTAAACGCTACGTGGATGGCCGACTCCTGGGGAAGAAGGAGCGGGTGGAGTCCGCTAGGCATAAGCCGCAGGCTGAGACAAAACTGCTTCCACTTCCTACAGCAGCTCCTCGAGAAAAAGCTTCTCTGCTTCAGACACATCCAGACGCCTTGCTTCACCATCTGCATGCCAGAATGCCCACTTGCCTTTGCATGGTGCCAGGTGGCTGAGTTGTCTTGAGGGTCGGAAAGCCTGGCGCAGTTGCATAGGAGCCGGCACAAGACATTTCCTGAGGTTCGAGATTGTGGACTCGCACCACCAGAAGGAGACAGCAACGTTGCAGCTGCACGTCTGTGCACAGCCGCACGTGACATCAAACCAGGAGGTGAAGAAGTCGAAGAAGTTGGAAGAAAAAATGGAAAGACTACTCGGAGGCTGGGAGCCTCTGGCAAGCGGCTTCGGCAAAGCACAGAGGCCCCTTTTGAGTGGCAGGCTACATGACAAAGGCGAGACAGGCGCTCCTTCACATACGGAAGCTCTCCGAGGACTTTCGTGGGGATGCCGACATCCGTGAACGATTGGTTTCTCAGGGCAGCCTGCAGCGACATCGCTCCGATATCGCACGAGACGTCTGCGTAGGAGCGGGAGACGATTTCCATCGAGACAGAAGTCTTCCAGACCCTTCGTGCGAGAGAAGAGAAGGCCTTTCCCTTGTGGTTTCGGGCCACTTCGGCTTTCCAGGCTTCAGATCTCGTCAGGCCATTGAGAGCCGCGTGGAGGAGCTCAGGGATCAGGCCAGATCCTCGCGCTCGGAGAGCCTGGCCCGAACCCCGAACGGATCCACAGGTGGAGCATGAGAAGCAGAGGAACCTGAAACTGCAGAACCGCTACAAGGACTGACTTTGCTGACGTTCGTCCTGGATAGTCTCCAAAGCCGGCCAAGTCAACGAGAAATTTCGCGATTTCAGGCGCTGAAGATGCTACAGAAGCAGATAGACGACAAGCTGCAGTAAATGGGCCGCCCCACAAGACTGACAAAAGATCGCGTGGGCTGCTGGACATGCTTTGGCAAATGAAACGCCAAGGTGCCTGTCAAGTCAGACTGCACGGCGGTCAGGTTATCCTTGCATGATTGATCATGATTGACTGTCATGTTGTGCAACCAGCTGAAACTTAGGAAGAAGTGCGAAAGCAAGCCTTGAGCATCTACTGCCCGTCGACTCAAAAACAAGGGTACTGCGACTTGCCTGTACCCTCCTATAGCAGCTTCACCGCGCAGACCGCGACGTCAAGTCAGACATTGTGTCTGCGTGCTGATCACCAGCTGGCAGACAGCACGGAGCAGCCAGCAGCATCGACCGAGCCATGAAGCATGGCATGGATCAGATTGGAGGCAGCGGATTTCGGTGCCTGTTCCGGGCTTGGAGGAACACAAGAGAAGCCTCCGACTGGCCTTCTGCACAGATGTATCACGAAGCGCGGTAATTTTCGACAGGTATGTCGGTGCATCACATTCGCGCCATGCAGCCTGAAGCGATGCCCTTGAAAATGCCGCAAGGCCCGATCCAGGTACTTGGGATTAGGAAAGAGTGAGAACAATGTATCGATCAGGAGAGAAGTTTCCGCTCACCCGCGGCAAGGCACTGCTGCAGCAGCATTGAGCATCCGATGTATCCTGCAAGAAAGTGGGGAGCGGGCCCGGGAAGAGTGTGCTGAAAATGAAAAGCAGGACTGGCGCTGGGTGGCTGGGTCATTGGCTGCGTGTGTCGTGGGCTTCTCAGAAACGAAGCTTTTGCTGCTACTGGTCTCACTTCAGAATGTCACTGGTCGAAAGCTGTTTGGCCGGACGGTCTAGTCCTGTCAACGCGACTCCAAGCGATGGTCGATGCTCAGATCAATTCAGATGCACTGATAGGTCGTTGCCCAGGTCACTGCAGACTCACACGATCTGCCAATAAATGCCAACCAAGCCAGAGGTCAGTTCAGCTGGACATAGTTGAAATTATGCATCTGCGTTAGCAGTCATTGGCATCGAACTCCTTTCTGCTAACTGAAGCGGCTTCAATCCAACACGGTAAAACGCTTCATGTGCGCTTGTTTACTTGTTTGCATGGGATCGAGCTTGCAGTGTCAAGCGTAGATCGAGGCATGTTCAATCCCTACGAGGGCTGCTTAGTTATACTGCACATGCAGAACTGGACGGACATCTTCCCAAAGCCTAATTGCCGGCCGAGGTGGTGGCCTTGATTCTGTATGAGCTCTCTTTGCGATTCCCCAGGCCTCTCCACAGAATGTCTCGCCATCAGCCGTGGCACCCGATCCCTGTGCGTTGTTTTTGCCATTGTTCGCCACGGTCTCCAATCAAAATGCCTTGCCGTCATCGGCCTTTCCAGGCATTGGCTTATAAGCTTCCTCTCGCCAAGTTCACACAGAAGATGGTCAAGCATGGTCAAACGTATTCACAGAAGTTTTGCCTGAAAGTTTCGTATCAGAAAGAAGCAGTGCAACGTAGTATGGTACTACACTTCAAAGCACTCCCCGATATTATGATTATGGACTTCTGGCGCTGCAGCCGTCCGAGTCAGGCCTCCCCTTTCGTCACTTCGCAGTGCTCGACATGCATGCACAATACAGCTTCAAATGTTCCGATTGCATGGCATTTGCTGAAGCCTCAAGCTGATTGCAAGACGCTCGTGGAAGGTCTCTGAGCCGGCCTCAGAAAAGACCTCTTCAGTGCAGGCAGCCTGTGTCAGCGGTGGGCTCGATTGTCAATCAGCAACGGCGAACAAGCTTAGCCAGAATTTCTTGCTCTCCCGAACAGCCGTGGACCCCGCCTTCGGAGGCACCATGGTTCGCACACATCCATTTTTAAGGCGTAGGTTGTCCAGCATCCTGAGGATATGCGTGTTCTGCTGTCGGCGTCGTCGCCGTTGTTGCTGTTGCTCTTGCTGTTGCTCTTGCTGCTGCTGCTGCTGCTGCTGCTGCTGCTGTTACTGTTGCTGTTGCTGCTGCTGCTGCGGCTGGTGGTGTTGTTGTTGTTGTTGTTGTTGTTGCTGCTGTTTTTGTTGTGGTTGTGGTTGTCGTTTTGGTTGCGGTTGTGGTTGTTGTTGTTGTTGTTGGCGGCGGTGGTGGTGTTGGCGGTGTTGATCCAATGCTCCAGCCAGGCTCACAAGCAGAGGAGTGCACTGAAGCGCCTTTGCTTCGTTCAGCTTCATCAACTTGAGCCAGTCCTATGCCGTGCTTTCTGTGGGTTGGTGCGCAGGCATACTGTAGCCCCGTGGCTTCACGCTGAGGAAAGGTCCCCGTTCCATGCCGGCACCCGCCGTAGTGGTGAGAGACTTGCGCTCTGCAGAAGATCCGTGATGCTTGCCTGCATCTTCACATAGAGGGCCCACACTGGTGAGTCAGTGGCCTGCCAGTCATTGAAATGGAAGTCCGCACGTAAAGCGAAACTTCCGGCGCGATGAGCCTCATCTTCAGGCAAAGAGCGAGACCTTATCGTCCAACGTCATAGGAAGGTGATGACGCAGGCAGAGCGACATCATGTGCAGCTCCTCCAACACAGTCAATCGTGCCTGAAGATTGGCGAATTCATTTGTCGGCTCGCAAGGCCAAGCTGAAAGTTGCTTACTTCCTCCTTAACAACGGCTTCAAGAGGACGTGCAAGAACTGCTAGAGTTTTCAAGTGAAGGCCGCCTGTCATTGTGACTGTGCAGGATTGATGTGAACTGCCGTAAGCGAGTTCATCTCGGTCTGGCAGTGACATATCCTCTGCATGTTGCTGCGGTGCACAATGACCACGACATGGACACTTGGCTCGCGTGCCAAAGCAGGATTGTACGGTCCATTTGGAAAGTACTCTTGCTAGCAAATTGTGCTGGTGCCCAAAACATTTGTAGATCCACAGATTGCTGTTGATATATCATGCACTTCCGCTAGACTATATAGTCTTGTCGCCGTTGCTTTATAAGTTCCAGGTCAAGCTGCTGCTTCACTTCGGCGCCGATCCTTACAAGAAGGAGCGTAGTTCTAAGCTTCCTTGGATTGTCCTTCCTGGTCTGTCCTCTGAGCCTCGCTCCTGCTAGTCTGAGTACGACTCAGGAAGTCTCGTCTCGAGATACACTTGCTGAGCACTCGTTTGACAAGCTTACGGCGCACTTTCGTCCATGAAGAAGTAGACTGGGTGCAGAAAGAAAGCGATTCGGCTTTTTGCGCGGTCTGGGGTTGATGGGCAGACCTGGAATTCCCACCTATGCTCAATACATGTCAGCAAAGCAGGGCCTCTACTGCAAGTCCCAAACACAACGAGTTGAATACCACAGATACTAGAGACCGATCATGGCAGGATACATGGCAAATGCTGCATTCCTGTAATCCGTGTTCATCTTTGGGAATGTCTCCCCCTGTAGTATCGAGGATTCTTGGGGCCGCACAGCTTGTTGCTGCGCGCAGAGTGGGCAGGCAGGAAGCTTCCTTCCCGCATTCCTCAATTTCAGCCGAAGGTTTTCAACCCGGAAACCCGGCAAACTTCCGGGTCAAGTTGTCACGCAAGGCTGCAGTGTGCCTCCTGATGCCGGAAATGTCAGAAGCCGGACCCGGAGAACTTGCCAAACGGATGCTTAGAATTTGCTTGCAGTGGTAAGGGTTCCAGTCTCTTCTAACGTTAGTATGCCGCAGCTCACTGTTACTGGCGACGACCATGCCCAAGTCACGGACAACGACAGATCGTTGGAAGTCCGAGCCTAGATGTCGAGAGAAGAACACAGGCCGCTATTGTGGACCGAAGTCGTTAGTGTTCAATAGTGTTTCATTTCGGCGCTCGACAGCCTGTAGCCAAGACCAAAGCAACAAGCGGGAGGCATCAAGTGGACACGGCAAGTAGCTATCCAAATAAGCCTCCAGCAAGGTGCCCTGCCCTTTCCTATGGGAGACACGGGTTCAATCCACGCGGCGAAGACAGGCCACTTCAGCAAAAGGCAAACAGCAACTACTAAGACGTCCGGCAGTTTGAGTACATAGCATTCTTGTAACCTGGAGCACTTGGATTCACCAAGCGATTTCCAACGCAGGTCCAGAAACTGTTGAAAAAGGTCGGGGGCGGACTCCTGGAGTCCAAGTGGATCCAGCGACCGTTCAGGCAGGGATCTGAAGCGCTGGCCCGTCGCAAATTACATGTCGCACATGCACTCGTCACTAGTCCCTTCGGAAATTACGAGATGCAGGAACCCGGTGCCTGTCGGCCTCGAAGACTTCTTTGCCGAAGTGGAACGTGACCCTGTTGTCCAGAGACGCTTGACTTGTTAAGAGAAAAGGCTCAGAAAGCGTGGACGACTTCCTCACAGCTGGCAGTCAAGGTCTCAAGCGGTCACGTGAGAAGTGCAGAGCCTTTGATTCGATTGGTGTGGTCTTCTAGGTTTCCACAATCGAGAAGCTCTGATGTTCGGAAGTTGTGACTTGCAACACTACTGGCACAAACACAATCTGAGGGCAGGAAGTATCTGGAAGAAGTGATCTGTGATCGCAGAAGATGCATGCATGACCCGAGGGTTTCCACTGGAAATTTTTTGATGCTGCAATTGTGTGTAAACCGAGTGCAGCTCCAGTGGAACCATGGTATTCTCAGCTTGGCCCTGCCTTCGTTCCAAGTGTTGTGGTGTTCTGCTCCACAGTATGAGATTTGAAGGAAGTAGCCATGGACAGCGAGCCGAGCTGCAGCAGGTGGCTGATCCGTTTCTCCTAGATGTGGCTTTGCTGCTATGGGGAAGCCTTGCTTCAAGCGGCTTTTCAGCGAGACCCAGCAAGTTTGCACCAAGAGCAGGTGTGGTCGGAATCGAGAGTTCAGAAGCAGGCGTTGATGCGCTTCACCTAGCGAAGACAATAGGCAACAAGGATCTTGCGGCTCCATCGGCAGTGTTGGGTGCAAAAGGCGGGCCCCTCGCCAGAGGAGGCTGCAGCCTTCTTTTACTGCAAACCTAGAAGCGATTCTTTACGCACGTGATCGCGCAGAGCATGGCTCCCACTGCACCCGAGCACAGAAGCACTTCTTTTGAGCTTACGTAAAGACTTTAGCTTCGGCTATCCTCTTAGAGTTAAGTGAGTCACTGATCAAGCTTGTCATCTACAGTACAAGGCGTAGATGCTCGGACAGACGGATTGTGACAAGGGTGATGTGGATGACGACTACGCACATCCATCCACGCTCTTGTGGCCCTTTTGGAGGCAACCCCCTGGCACGGTCGCAGGATTGTGCCAAAGCACGTCAGAATGAGTGATAGGGACTGCAGAGCCGACTCCACCTGATTGAGCCAACGTCCAAGGTTCAGCCCTTTTCGGAAATTACAAGAAACCTTGCATCACTCTGCCGAACTACTGTATCCCTCTGCACCCCAGTTCCATTTCTTATGCATGCGGACCTCTCGGGCTACATTGCCAATTGCGGTGGCTGAGTGCTTGCATCACGAGCAAGCTCCGCCCAGAAGGCCTAGATAGGATGACCAAATTCGGTGCATGTGCCGGGCTTGCCAGCTGTGCGAAACAGGGGATGCCTTGATCATGAGCGATGAACGGGAACTGAATCGAGGAAGGAACACGGGTATCGACGACACCTTCACCTGTCTTATCCGACACGTGCGCATGCCTAGCTTAGTCCATAAAGTGCTTCGTTCTGGATTTGCGCACGACCAGTGTGGCGATTTACCGAACACTGCTTTAAGCCCGGGTTGTGGGGTATGGATTCAAATCCTTTCCCACTGCAGTTCCAGAGAACAAGCGACTAACATCGCTTCACGAAGACGCCAAGCCAACTTGCGCGTGACACCAGTGTGAAGATGGAGATCAGTTGCAACAAACAAACAAACGACGGTATGCACTGAAGCAACCTCAACACAGTAAAGCCTGGGGTGGCCGGGCCTTCGGCTCCATGCATCCTCACTGGCATCACCGTGAGACTTGCTAGCCTTCCCTCAGCAAGACGCGAGAGATCCACACTGACCCTGAATTGCTGCATATTGCAGAGTCGACCTTGGCGAGGTCCCTCGTGTGTCTCAGGGCGTTTAGATATCCCTTTGTTGTGACGAAGCTTGTACAGCTCAGTGCCTGGTGAAAAAGCCAAGTTCACGGCTTCGCAGCCGTACTGGCGCGGTCAGGCCAAAGTCGTCAAGGTTTCGCAAGGTCACCAACTGTTCAGCATCAACTACTTTCAGGCTGTATAATCCAAGTCTTGAACAACACCGTTTCAGAGAGAGCAGCAACAAGCTTCATGGCGACTGATTCACATCTGCCGCGGATACTTTCGTACTTTGAACGAGGTGGCCTGGCAACGCGCCATTGCAAGCTTTCCCATAAACGGTTCTCGCCTGTTGTGGCGTTGTCCTTGGGAATTTGAACTTACTTTCAGGGCTTTGACCACCCTGAGTTCTGGATGTTCTGGACAAGCAGAAAAGCACACTTTTCATTGGACGGAAGAAGGTACATGCCCAGTGCAAAAAACGTGCTTTGTGTTTTCATGGCAGTCTCTCGTCGGTGAGAGTCCGAATGCGATTTAGTTTCTGGTGCCCATGCAGTCACATCGCCACATTGAGTACTAAGTGGCTTTCACATTTTTGAAGGCCATGTCAGGTTTGTTTGAGGTGATGAGTTCGACTTGGATTTCATAAGACCTTGTTGACACGACTGCTTAACTGTAGTGGCGACACCTGCGCGTGCACTCGCTGCGGAGGCAGCTGCCACAGCCGCAAGCCGAGCCAAAGAGCAGGCCACCCGAAGGCAGGTTTGCAACGCCGACTGCGTTTCTCAACTTACAAGCCCAGCCACATAAACTGACTTTTGAGGTGTTGACTTCCTGGAGCAGCTGCAGCAAGCCAAGGATGTGTTTCACTTCCGCGCGTTGGAAGGAGCGGCGCTTCATCTTTTATTGGACGGAGGAGGAAGTGGAGACAGATTTCAGTCTCCTGGATGTCGAAAGGGAGTATCTCGAATGCACTGGAGCATATCGTTTCGTTCCTGCTTCTGCTGGACCCATGAGGTTTCAGAAAAAATACACAGACAAGGCTGGTGATGTTTGCACGAAGCCCACCAAATTTTGCATCACCCGAAGGAATGAGTGGCCTTCAAGCTCTGTGTTAAGGGAAGATGGGATCCAGAACCCGTGCAGAGGGAGCTGTGCGGCAGAGGCTCGCCCACTGCTGTGTTCCGCGTGCAAGATCTCAGCCGTTGTCTCAGACTATGCGAGCTTCGTCCGTAATGGACCTGTGAAACTTCTGAGTCCATCTTTCGAGGCCGAGCGCGTCGGGCTGGAGTTAGGCTCGCTGGCATTCGCTCGCCCTAACTGTGCTGTTCGGCTTGGGCCTCCCACAGTGTCCCCAGTTTCGTGACAGCGTCAGGTCTAATTCGGGTCTTTCACAAGAGTTGCAATCAATTGCTGCGTACTCGTCGCCTGCTTGGTGCGAGTTTCAGGGCGCCCTGCTAGCTGCTACCGTCAAGCAGTCAAATCTCTTGCAGATCTCACAGAATATCACAACGCACGGATGTCAGAATCGATTGTAGCCGGAAATGTCAGTTCCAGCGACTATCCGCAAGTCCAGATGCCTGAACTTGCCATCTGGTCTGCCAACTGATTCCAAACTGATTCCAGGCTGTAGCTAGTGGCGTTGAGACTCCCAGCTGATATGCAGATGCGCGGAATGCCACTGAGCAGCCGGATCCGTCAACTATGCTCAATGCCACCAAGGAGGTTTGGAGGGGATGCTGAACCGGCGGTCCAGGTGAGGTGTGTCGCGTGACAGGCTGTGCTTGCAGCATGTCAAGCTTTACCTTCACCTTTAGTCGTCGTGGAAGGCCTGGTGTGTGCCCCGCATCAGCCGGTTCTGCTGTGACCTGCCCTGCGGCACCGTGCTGCGCTCTGACAGGCGAGGGCAAGGCCAGCTTCGAGGCTTCGGACGGGGACGGGACGTGCGAGGCTGGTCGGAAACTCCTTCAAACTGTCAGGAAGTCCATGATAGCGACCATCGGCACCTTACCGGAGTTGAGTTGCGGAGGCAGAGGGTCTGACTAGTGCGCTACCAGTGACGCAAAACTTTGTTTGCAGGGCCGAAGTTGCACAGCGCAGCGTCGACCGCCTGCTCGCTACCCAGATGCTCTTGTCTCACGTCGTTAGGTTTCAGTCTGCTATCCACATTGCTTTTGCATTTAGGAATGTGGTTAGAGCCGGTTAGAGCCAGCCACATTCTTACTGCCTCTTGCTTTAGCTGCACAGGTGCAGAGTGCTGCTGGCTGAAGCGCTTCGCTGGCTTGCTTTTCTTAAGCTGCACTCTGCGTAGTACCTGATCAATCACTTGCCGGGCCGTCGGCATGTCCCGGGACTCTCCAAAACCTTGATCTGCGCAACGAAGCCACAAAGGGGAGAAAGGAAGACTGAAGGAGAAAGAGACGGAGGAAACGAGGGAGGAAGGAAGCAAGGAAGAGAGCAGGACAGCCGTGATGGAAGCATGAGAAGTTCAAGAGGGAATCCTGGGTGGGCAGTATTGTGCACGGTACTTGCTCTCAGAGTCACGCTCCTC